GCTGTGATCCCAATCAGAGAAGGAGGTAGTGGAAGCTGGGCATTATCTAGTTCTGGTCTCAGACTAGTGGAGGCTTAGTGGTCAAACTGCCCTAAGGATTATTTGAATTTTTAGCTCACTCTTAATAATCTTCACAGCTTATTTCCAGTATCATTAAGTAGTACAGTGCCATACTGGTTAAATGCTATGCTGCTGCTAGCCATCAGTTTGAACCTACAGCCGCTAAGATAGTCTTCTCCCATTAAGGTGTGTAGCCTTGGGAACCAATTCATGGTAAACATGAATTGGAATAAACTCAAAAGCAGGTTTGGTTTATACTGAAAAAAAAACAGGTTACCTAAAAATTTGATGATCAAATTTTGGGCTATTATTATCCTTCCCGTCCAATAGCTAGTCCCTTTAGTTTTCCTTATTACCACATCATATAGCTCAGATTTTTCAACTGTAAAAAATCCCCTCACTTAATGTTTACCACAAAGGCCTCTATAGAAGTTCTAGTATAACTTATAATATGAACCTAAAAACATACTCAGTGAGACATAAAAGGACAAACACTCTGACCCAGTTCTGAAAGACCTAAAATAGGTAAATGATCAGATAGAGACCAAAGTTTATTAATAGTTGCCAGGGACAAGTAAGGAAACGGCCTTATTGCTTCAGTAGCATTGCACTGATAGTGATGAAAAAAATGTGGAAATGAAGTGGTTATGGTTACACAACACAGTGGATGTAAATAATGTCACTAATTAACATATATGTGAAATATTTGAAATAGCAAATCCTACTTTATCACATTAAAAAGGAGTAAAGACTAGAAAATATTACCCAAAATTCCATCCTTCAAAGGACTGTAGATACATACAATGTTACACAATCTGTTTTTAATTTGAACCCTACCAAAAGCCATAAAAGACATCTATCCCCATAAAATAGTGAATATGGATAGAACAGAGGTCCTTAATCCAATGAATTAGCTGTCTACTCATTTTCAGTTTATAAATTTTATAGAACAGCTTTAAAGCCCAAAGAACATTTTAACATATTCAAAGCAGGAAAGATCTAAAAATTAAGATTTCTAACCTTGTTCCCACTTGAAGACTATCCTACAGGCCACAGGTAAGTATCAGTGCCCAGCACACACACCATAAACTGCCTATAGCATATAAAAATGTATAGGGAGCTCTGGTGGCTTAGTGGTAAGGAGTTCTGCTGCCAACTCAAAGGCATAAGGTTCTAATCCACCACTGCTCCACGGAAGAAAGATGGGCAATCTCCTCTCATGCAATGTATTACCTTTGTATCAGTTAGGAGTTGGTTCCAACTTGAAGGTACTTAACAAAAGCAACTTAATGAAATGGAACTCAGTCAAGTTAACGGAAACGTTAGTAGGATTACTCAACTATTGCTGCCATCTGTGAAGAGCTCTGGTGGCAAAGCAGTTTGCTGAAAATCAGTATCTCAAACTCACTAGCCAGTCCAAGGAAGAAAGATGTAGAGATCTGCTTCTGTGACATTTACAGCCTTAGAATCACCACTGGACAGTTCTACTCTGTTCTACAGTGTCACTGCATCAGAAATGACTCAACAGCAGTGAGCTTAGGGATTTGTTGTCAACTTTAAGAAATGCCAGACCCAGCATTTGTTTCCTCTAGTAAACCACCTTTAAGAACATGAAGCCTTACTTGGCCCTAGACAGTCAGGCTATACTGCTATTACTATTTTTAAATAGAACTCAAGCGCTGAGATAAGGACACTGAAGGTGGTGTTTAACAGATTCTTAACAGCTTGATGGGTATTACTGCCACTTACTGGAACTCAATCTTCTCAGAGCTTGGGTCAAATAAAGAAATTATTAATAGTAAAAAAGTATTCTCAATCTGCAGCTTTTTTTACAAAGCATATATGAGTCTCAATTAGGTTTTCCTTTTTTAAAAAAACCAAACAAACAAAAAAAATAAATTCAGTATCACTTGGAAGACCAAAAATCACCCCCAAACACACACATACTCAATTTTTCTGGTGCTTGTTTTACATCTTCATACAGAAAAGTTTAAGGCTCTAATTTTACAACCATTCTGTCTTCTCCACAAGTTTTTTCTGCAGTAACAGCAAGTCCACGTTGAGAATATACTGATGACTATTTTAGGAGGTAATACTCAATAACTCTTCTAAACGATGTAACACACTTTTATCTGCTTATCAAATGGAGTAAATAAAACATTTGCTAAATGCAAATGGGTCACTACAGAGGTCTTCAGAAAATACTCAACTCTCTGGAAGTCAGAGAAGGGAACAATTGCTTATTTTTTTTCTCAAATTTAGTATGTTGAGAAAAAAATTCAAAAAGAAAACAAGTGTCTTATTTTTACCAAATTAACTAAAGTATTAAAAAGCAAATCAAAACACACTTGTATGGGACTTTGGTGTAGTGGCAAGAAGTTGCATTGCAATCCCTCAGGCACGTGGTTTGAGTCTACCAGTTGTGGGAGAAGAATGGGCAATCTCTTCCCATACAATTTACTGCCTCTGAAAAAACCTGCTAGAGGGTCCAGCTATGAGTCAGTTCTGACTCCATGGTATACAACAATGAGACTTAACTAATCTTCAAAGACCTGAAATTTTTTTTTCTTCCCCTAATAGAAAAAGGAGATTTTTTAAATAGATTTTTTTCCTTTATCTTTTAATACAAAACAATTTTTTATTTAGACAATGAGTTTTTGGTTTGTTTTTTTGTTAATAGATTTTTAAGGAAGATGCTTCCAAAATTAATATAATTATCTTGGAAAAGCTGGCAGAGAAAAGCAGCCCACTGACAAAGTATCACAAGTCTGTTAATACAGAACTTTTCCAAGCTGAAACAAAGGTGGGGGGGAGAGACCCACAATTTGAAAATCAGCAGTGCTGCTAATCTAATTGTATTTTTTATTCACCCAAATATTTAAGCATCTTCTATGTTTAGGGACATGAATAATGCCAAGACCTTTAACAATGCCTTACTTTTGAAGAGACAAGAGCTGAAAACAAAAGCCTATTTACAATTCTCTAGCCTTTAGTACAGAAAAGAATATTTGCATTATCTAAATTTTTAAAGTAGAAACCCCATTCAGACTTTGTGTGAAGCCAGAGCTGTTCTGAAGAACAGAGCAGTAACCAGTATTAACCCCCTTAATATTACCACCAATAGGAGCCATTTTGAAATTGACATAGTCATTAACATCTGCTCATTCTTTTTTTTTTTTTAAATGTGTGTACCGTCAAATCAGATCTGACTGGTACAGGAGGAAATTGTCCCTCCTTCCTCAGCAGAGAGCATCTTGGTGGATTTGAACCTCACATCTCTGGGATTGCAGTACAGTTTCTTGCCACTAGGCCACCAGAGCGCGCCAACATCCACTCATTCTATGCAACAATTTTTTTGGCAACAAAATAAAAAGTAAGTAAAGCCAAAACTTAAGTTTATTTCCTCCAAGAACTCTTAAACTGATAACGATTTAATATTTTGTGTGTGTGTGTGTGTGTGTGTGTAATACATGCAAATACCTACCTGGAAAAAAAAACCCCTAACCAACCAATCAACAAGCTTGTTAGGAGAGGGTAAATAGTAATCACACTCTCTAAATTTTCTATAAATCTGGCTTTTTATATTAAAGAAAACAATAATTTAGAATACATAATTAATATAATAAAAAGACTTGTTAAGGCTCACTGGTGAGAAAAAACCCACCAATCTGAACAAAATTTAGTAATGTGTAGAAAAACATTACTTAGTAAAGAGTGTAAAGGGTAAACAATTTTATTTTAGAAATAAAGACTAACTTTAGAATTTTAAATATTACTGCTTTAATGAATTACAAAAACAGTTTAGCCTCAAGAATAACATGTAATTTTCTCATTTTAGAAATAAGAAACCAAAGCTATCTCTATGTTCTGTGTGTTCAAGACCAATGTCATACGAAAATGTAAGTGTAAACTAGGATTTAAAAAATTATTCCTTAAAAACAACCTATCATAAGAATATTAAAGGGTAACCATTCAGTAAACCACTGTATTTTTTAAATCGCTGGTTCATTACAAAGGGGAAGTATTAATACTCTCAGGGTATTATATGCCAACTGGTTAGATCTTCTATCATTTATCCTCTAAACTTCCCAGGAAAATTGAGCCATCATTTACTAATCAGATTAAAATGTAAAAAAGCAATGTTTTAATTGTTACAAGCAAAGGGATTCATTACTGTAGGTACTCAATAGTTAAAATACTACTTGACTCATCTAGAAAAATTAAGCTTGAATTAATCATAACCTTTTAGCATGGCTGCCAATGTTCAAAGTTGACTTCTAACACTTAAAATTACAGGCAGAAGTAGAAACGCTCCATTGAAACCAGTATTTTTTTGCATGGCTGTTATACTGATACAGCATCTAATCTAGAGATAGGTGTTAAATACAATAGAAATCTATTAGGTCTCTTTTCCATAAAAAACAAAATGCCTATATCTACCAAACTCATTCCTACTTACAACAATGCTTTTTTTTTTTTTTTAACAATCCTTCAAGACACACTATATAACACAGGGCATAACAGCCCTAGCATTTTCTAAGGCTAAAAGCTTTACAGAAAGAGACTGCCTCTTTGTCTGCAAAGTCATCATTTGGTTCAAATTTTTGACCTTTGGATCGACAGCTAAGAACTTTAAACCATGCATGAGCACCTTCAATATAGGTGCATCTAAGAAAACAAACTCTAGAATTTCAACACGTATTAATTATAAATAAAATGGTAACATGAAGTTTATCTTTCCAATGAGTAAAAAAAATAAGACTTATTAAAATTGACTGATACTCACAGTTGCATTTACTTTTTACATACGTATTTTTTAGTGGATGATACCCCTGAATTATTTAGAACAATTTCTAAATGAAAAAAGTTCAGAATAACAAACTATGGAATATGTACATTAAAGTGAGGCTAACAATGCTACTAGACTGAATGTTTCTCACCAGTACATCATTGCAGATATCTCTTAGCTCCGTCTCAATTTTCTCTCTGTATTCTCGAGCCATTTGCTGTTTTTTCTCAGCACCTTCCGTCTTTTGTTCAATACTTGAGACGACCCTCCAAGATGACCTACGGGCTCCTACAACATTTTTATACGCAACTGAGAGAAGATTCCTCTCCTCATTTGATAATTCCGCTCCTTGCTCAGTTACAGACTTCATGCAGGCTGCCATGTCATCATACCGTTCAGCCTGCTCTGCCAGTTTGGCCTTTTGCACCAGCTCATTTTTATCCATGATTGGATGGTCTGCAAAGGGTAAAAGAGCAGCATTCAGATTATTTTTCCACCAAAAAATATAGACCTAAATTATATGTTAGAAATAACCTATTTTTTTTTAAAAAAGAAATAACCCACATAAGGGGGGGGGCATACTCAGCCATTAACATCAGTTTAGGGTCTAAAACTGCATTATCTCATCTTTGTTCAGCAGATCCTAATTTTACAGAGACAGTCTTAAAATCCACCTCAGAGCTGGCCAAAATTGCCACTCCAGTCACGAACATTATGATTAAAAACTAGGCTCCTTTATTAACTGAAAGCACAAGCCTACAGAAATAATTTTCATTTAGAGGCAAGGTTCATGTTAACTTACATAGAAATTATGCCACTTCTTTCAATGTTGAGTGGTCAGGAGTTTTTAATTGTAAATTCCTGTTGGTATTACCCTCACCCCAAATCTACTGGGTCTTTGCAACATCTGCAAAGCATGACAATGCTCTAGAGGAAGATACTCTGAATGTAAAACATAATCATCAATATCTGACTGACCACTAAGGCCTCATGTGGATATAAGTATCTCACTTATATCCACACCCTTTTAGCATATCCACGGTGTAGAAACGAACTATCATTAACAAGTATCTCCACTATTACTGTCTCATTTCCAAGATATTCCGGCACTGCTTTCAGCAGCCATGATTTAATCGAACACTATCACTGAACACACTGCCCTTCACAGGCTACAGCTTCCTCGACTTCTCACTGCACCTGTCCTACACATTAATTTGAAAGAGAATAAATGCATATAAAAATACTAAACCATACAGTAACCCCACAAGATAAAACCACCTAAAAAAATTTGCAGCCTGGGGGGCGGTACTAAAGTTAAAAGCTTAACAGTGTTATGATGAAAATTAACTCGCCATATTACACCCTTTACTTTCCAAGGGCACTCCCACATATTTGCCTCCCACCTCCAAATCAGAGTGAAGTCAGCCAAAACCGAACCCACTCCTGTCAACTCCGAATGGCCCCAGGACTGAAACAAGCAATCAAGCCTGCATATGGGCTATACTGGTTCAAGCTAGTTAAAACTCGTGATCGAAAAATCTCTCATTGTTTCTTGAAATTATCTTTCCCTTTAGTATCAGGAATTCTCACTGGTTAATACTGTTTCTAAGGATTAAAAAAAAAAATTAAAAAAAATTTTTAGAACCAGTACAAAAGGTTTTTCTTCCCAACCCTCCAGTACAAGAGGAAGTGGATTAGGTTTCTCACTAGTGCCCCAAAAGGCCTCGCCTCTACACTGCGGAGGACTCGCCGCACCCATTTAACCCTCAACCGACCGAACCCGCAGCGCCGGGGAATCGAAAGCGGCAGCCGGGACTTAAAAGCGCAGATCCCGGCGTCCGCGCTATCGGCACCCCCCCCTCCTCCTTGGCTCCGCCCTAGTCCCCGACTCTCCCTCTTTGTCATGGCGGATCTGTGTCAAGGAGCCCAACCTACCGCAGAGTGTTAATGCCCCCCCCCCCACGCGCTGGAGGGAGGAGCCCCGGCGCCCCCGCCCGACCCGCCAGCGCCGCCCGCACAAGCGGAACCGCGGCCGGGCCCGCTGCGGACACACCCCGCGCTGCCGGCCGGCGGCCTCGGCCACCGAGGGGGCCCCTTCACAGTCCGCGGGGCCCCGACAGCTGCGGGGGGGAGGGGAGAGCCACACCCCAGGCGCCCCGCAGAGCAATCCGGGCGTCCGTCCATCCGGTGGGAGATCGGGACTTCTCGTCCTCCCCCATCCGCTCCTCCCGGCCCGTTCCAACCCCCGCCGGGGACACCGAGGTCCTCCCTCCCGACGCGAAGCCGGGCGAGCCCCACCCCAGCAGCTCCCCGCGCCCGGCCTCGCCCGGTACCCGGTGACAGCTCCCCGCAGGCCCCCTCCCCGCGCCGCCCCGGGTGGGGGAGGGCCGGCCTCGCCGCAGCGCCCCGCGCCGAGGAGGAAAGGAGAAAGGAAGGGGGAGGGGAGCGCGGGCGGCGACGGGGGCGAGGGGAGGGGGCGGCCTCACCTGCGCCACTGCAATGCCCGCAGCCATCTCGGGCGGAAACGCCACGGGGGACGGGGCCCGAGAGGCGGCGGGGGCACCGCGGCGAGGGGTGGGGGCGGATCGGGGCCGGGGGACCCTCGGCGATGCCTCGGCTCACCCTCGGGACCAGCGAGCGGGCGAATCCCAGGGGACCTCGCGTGTGGGCGCCTTTACCACCCCCGGGGAGTGGGGACGAGGAGAACGGTCGCTTCTGCCGGCCGAGGGGTTGATCAGGAAGCAAAGAGCCGGGGGCAGCCGCGAGCCGCTTGCCCCAGTCCAGCGGAAGAGGAGCCGCCGCCCGTCTCCGCCCGAGGAGACTCCGCCTCAGCCCAGCGCCCCTGACCACCGGGAGAGCCGGGGCGAGGAGATGGGGAGTGGGAAAGGCTCCCACGCTTTCGGAAGGCTGGCCCGCGACAGGAAGGAGTGGGGCGAGGTGGCTGCGGTCGGGTCCCTTACCTGTGTCCGGAGTGGGTGGCGGCGGACGGATGGGGGCTCAGCAGACTCTGGGCGGCGGCAGCGGCAAGGCTGAGACTCTGTCCCTGGATCTCGCAGCTCACAGGCTACAGCCGCTCCGCAGACACGGGGTTTCCTCCAATCACCGGGCCCGGCAGCAGGGGCACCACACGCACGATGACGTCAAACGCTGCTATGGCAACCGTTGATTGGTGCCCACAGCTCTGGGGGCCCAGTGCAACCGCCGCTCCCTAGCGCGCGCGCCCTGCCCGCCCGCGCTAGAGGGCGAGCGCGGAGGAGCGCGCGTCCTCTCCCGCTGCCCACACCACTCTGCACTGCTCAGTTTCCAACTTCTCCACGCTGGTCCCGAATGCTCTAGAGCAGGGAGCTGCTTGCTTGGTCTTCTCCCCACTACCCCACCGCCTCGCTTTTCCTTTGAATCCCCGACACCCTCTTTTAACTAACCGTAACCTCCGGCTCACTCTTACTTTCAAATAGCGAGAAGGAAATCTTCCCCCACCCCCCACCTTAGCTTGCCGTTCGTTCCTGCGCCTGCGCCAGTTACTCCCTCCTGAAAGGGCTAGGGTTCGGCAACATCCGGGACCTTTCACAGGCCCCCATCCCCTCCCCCGCCGCCGGGCCGCGCCGCCCTCAGTGCTTCGCGGTGGTAACTGTCCCTAGGGCTGTTCAGGGGGCGCCGCATTACGAGAGTGACCCGCGCCTCGGGCATTGTGACCGCGATGGCGGTGCAGGGCGCGGCCTCTCCCGCCGCTGGCCGCTCCCCAGCGACTGGCGGGACCGACCTGAGCGCACGGCCTCGCCCTTCCGCCGGCGCGGGTTTACCTGCTGGCTCGTGAAGAGGCAGGAGGGGTGGAGAGGTTAAAGCAGCCCTTAGACCTTTTAAGGCTCGGAAAAGACTGTGAGGCCTCTAGCCCCTGGGTGTGGACTGAGTGACGGGCACGTTTTCCAATCCGGAACTCGGGATCTGCCCGCAAGGACAGCCACGAGGGGACAATGGGTGGGCGCCAAAGTGAGGGGGTTGAGGTGGAGCTGGTGGGAGGTGAGGCCTGCCGGGAGCTGCCGCGGATTCCAGAAAGCCAACATTTGGGAGGGGAAAGAGGCTAAATAGGGGGATTGAGACCATCATGAAAGCCTTAAAGAGAGGTAAGGGAAGGTTTGAGCACAATGGTGCATTTTCTCATAGGTTAGATTTTTTTTTTTTTCTATCCCCAGTAAAGCTTATACCAAAAGACTTCCTGCTCCGATGATTGGAAACCTACAGACTTACCTTTTATTCTGCCGGAAGCAAGTTTGGAGGGACGTAGCAGTTCCCAGTGTCCCCGCTTGACCGCGAGAAGTGGCGATCAGGAACCCAGAAGAGGGGAAGGGGAAAGGCAGGGCGCCAGTGGCGGAAGTTGCAGGTGCTACCAACCCCAAACTTTGGGGCTAATCCTGTGACAATTTAAGGAAGTTCAAAGAGAGACAGTTTAATCAGAGGTCGCTGCCGCCTCCCGCTTCACATGGATTTCAGCAAAGAAAACCTGGTCCTTAGGTGGCCTGGATAAAGTAGATAGCTCTTCCTAGGACCTTATGTAAATTCGGTCTTGAACTCGTGGATTTTTCAACATATTCCTGTTGTTAGGTCCCCTGGAGTCCACTATGATTCATAGCAACCACTGAACGAGGAATCTGAACCTTGCCCTCCCTTGTGCTATCCCCATCATCTCCCGCTACACTTGAGTCTGTTGTTAAAGACACTGTGTCAATCCATCTCTTTGAAGGCCTTCCTCTCTCTCTCAGTGACCCTCCAGCCTTTCCAAACATGATGTCATTTTCCAAGGATGGGCCCCTTCTAGAAAGCATGCCCAAAATATGTGAGAGGAAGCTTCACCATTCTTGTTTCCAAGGAGCACCCTTGCTTCGCTTTCTCCAAGACATACTTGTTTATTCTCTTTGCAGTCCATGGGATATTCAGTATTTTTCTCTAACACCACAACTCAAAGGCACACCTTCTGTCACTCTTAGTCACGGTCCATGAAGAGCATCTTGCTAGTGGTGTCCTCTGGGTACAACTGACAGAGCTTAATGAGCTAGCCCAGCCTCTTTACTGTCTTCTTAGGTACCATGAGTGTGAATCAACTTTTCAGATTCATACCTGACCCTCCTTTGAGTTTTCAGAGGCAGTAAATTGCATGGGAGGAGATTTCCCATCTTTCTCCTGTAGAGCTGTTGGTGGATTTGAACCACTTTCTTTTAAGTGGCCAAAGAGAGGAAGAATCAATGCCTTTGAATTGTGGTTCTGGAGAAGAGTATCGAATATAACATGGACCACGAAGAGAACTAATAGGCCTGTCCTGGAGAGGAAGAAGTCAAACTGTTCCTCGGGGGCAAAGATTTGAGGCTCTGACTCACGTACTTCGGGTATGTTGCAAGGAGGGGCCAGCCCTTTGAGAAGGACATTATGTTTGCAAATATGGAGGGAGAGCATAGGAGAAGACCCCAGATGATATGGATTGACACAGTAACTGGGTTAAGGAGAGCGGGTGTGTCAGAGCGTGAGATTGGCCCAGGATAGAGAGGGTTCAGAGCTATTGTGCATAGGGTTGCTATGAATCGTGGCTGACTTACCGGCACATAGCAACAACAGGTTATGAACGATCCTCCAGTGGAGCTCTGGTGGTATATTTCGTAGACAGCTGTGCTACTAAGCCAAAGGCAGCACCTCTCTGGAAGTTAGAATCCATCAACTGTTCTCTGGGAGAAAGATGGGCAATCTCCTCCTAAGTAATTTCCAGTCTCCCAGAAACCCACTGGAAAGTTAGCTATTAGTTGCTTCCAGTTCTACTGTCCTTTGCTGTTATGTGCTGTTGGGTCGAGTACAACTCATAGCTACCAAATCTATGAACAACACATATGAACCCTGTGCCATCCTCACAATCTCTGACACACTTGAGCCTATTGCTATAGCCGCTGTGTCAGTCCAACTGGTTGACGGTCTTCCTCTCCTTTGTCAGCCTTCTCTTTCCAAGCATGAGGTCCCTTTCCAAGGAACACAAAGCTTTATCATCTTTGCCTCCAACGAGCATTCTGGCTGCACCTTCTCCCAGACATATCTTTTGTTCTTTTGGCAGTCCATGACATATTCAGTACTCTTTTCCAATACTGCAACTCAAAGGCATGAATTCTTTGTCTGTTGTCCTTATTCATTGCTCTCAGATGCATAGCAAGTGATTAAAAAAATAATGGCCTTAATCAGACTCACCTTAGTCCTCAAACTTGATATTGCCCCTCAATATTTTGGAGAGGTGTGCAGACTTTTCCAGTGCAATACATCTCCTAATCTGAGTGCTGGTACCAAGTGTATTGATTAATTGCCAGACCATTCTACAAAAGGACCTTTCGCTTGGAGTCACAGCTGCTAGTACAGGTGGTAGTCTTGGTTTTAGAACATGTTGGAATAAGGGCAAATTACATTTTACAAACTAATATCTTTTTTAAAAAAAAATTTAGGTGTATATTTTACTATTAGTAACATGTATTACTTATAGCAAAATTTGCCATATCTGAAAGTTTATGCATCATATTTCTAAATCCCAAAGACAAAGATCAAGTTTATTAAGACATTAGTACTAAAAGACAATTAGAATAATGAAAACTAAAAAGAAAATTAAGTATTCAACCTAGGGGTGAACTTACCATGAGGTCTCCAAACAGAATCTGGTGACTAGTTTAATGTCAGCATTTTATTTTCCCCAAAATTTCGGCAAAGATTCACAGTAGGCCAAATGGATACCCAAATTGATTTGGGCTTTATTTCTGAGATATTATATCCTTTTCTGACTCTCAAATTCTTTTATACAAGTGACTCATTTAAAATGACTAATATATCAAAAGCTGTTTTTTAAAAAAAATTACTTCTAGTTTTGTCATAGGCACCAGACCTTTGACTGTGTTTTTTTTTTAAAAAGTAGTCTAAAAAATGGAAATTGACATTACTTTCACATCTCAGATGTATATACCTATATAGAATTTTTGACTTTAGAGAAGCTTAGAAATTTCTTTGCATAAGTAAATTGTGAATTTACTTTAGGAAACATACAGGTTGGGTTGTTGTCTTGTGCTTTAAGTAGTGTGACAATTTTTAGTGAAATAGAAGCTGTTGGGTTTTTACACACAGTACATTCATGAGATAAAAGGTAATGAGATTATAGGAAAGCAAAACTGAAAAAGTCATGAAAACTTCAAGGGAAAAGTGCTTTGAGGAATAAAGAGTACTCTGCGGCTATGATAAAGGAGTGCTGGGAGTGCAGCTGGGTGCTCTGGGGGCATAATGAGTTGCGCTCTCAGTCCAAAGGCAGGTGGTTCGAATGTACCAGCTTCTCTAAGGGAAGAAAATGTCCAATCTCTTCACACGAGATTTACAGCCTCTGAAACTTTGCTGGTGGGTCAGCAGTGAGTTGAGTTTGGTTGTGATGTGGTCATGCGCTCAATTACAGCAGGGTTGACAGTTTAAACTTGCCAGTTGCTGGAGGGGGGGCAGAAACATGATGATCATATTCTGTAGATTGACAACTTTTGAAATGTGATGCAGCGAGTCTTTGTCCTGCAGGAACACGAGTCCAAACTGACTGAATGGCAATGGGTTTGGTTTTTATGACAATGATAAAACAGCAGAATAAATAGAACCTATGAACTTGAATGTTGAGAAAATTACTGGACACTTTCACCAGTGAGGTGACCTGTTTTGTTTTCTTCCCCGCTCAACTTTGTTATCTCAGTCACAGTGCTTAAGTTGTAGGTGCTTTGATTTCCATTTCAAAGAAAGCACTTACCTGGTTAGGTGGTGCTGAAGATGAAAAGATGATATGCATAAAGTGCTTAGCAACATTGCTAGCTCAAAGTAAGCATTCAGGAACTTGACTGGTGCTCATTTGTAAATGAGTATATCTAATATCTCTGTCATTCAAAGTGTTGTGAAGATAAAATAGAACTATACATGTATAACAGTATATTTAAAATATCTTTGTAGATGAGGATAGGCCCTTTCTATGAGGATGGTGATGAAAGCAAAACAGGATGCCCCTTCCCCTCTGAAAGCTGAAGCTAAAAGCAAAGGTGTTAAAGGTCAAGAAGGCAGTCCTGAAGGGCATCCACAGTCACAGAAAAAAAAGAACATTGCACTTTATCAGCAGCCTAAGATGCTGAGACTCGGAAGGCAGTCCTAGAAGAGCATCCCCAGGAGAAACAAGCTTGACCACTTATGCCATCATCAAGCTTTCCCTGACCATTGAGTCAGCCTTGAAGAAGAAAAAAGGTAACAACACACCAGTATTCATTGTGATGTCAAGGCCAACAAACACCAGATCAGGCAATCTGTGCAGAAGCTCTATGTCATTGGTGTGGCCAATCTCAATACCTTGATTAAGCCTAATGGAGAGAATATGGTCTATGGTCACCTTGCTCCTGACTATGATGATTTGGATTTTGCGCACAAAATTGGGATCATTTAAACTGAGCCTCTGTTACTCTATTGTTCACAGGGTTTTCACTAAGGTGTGTCTGATTCAGGCCATGGTCTTTTTGATCACTTGTTATGCATCTGAGAGCTGGACAATGAATAAGGATTACAGAGGAAGAATTGATGGGGAGAGGTGGGCAGGGAGAAAAGTGCAACAATGAATGACTGGAAACCCTACGTCTCTGTAAATTTTCATTAAAATTAATTTTAAAAAGAAGAAAAAAAAAACAAAAACAAACCAACAACCCCAAGAACTCACATTGATAAGATTCTATGTCAGACTTTTTCCTTAGGTGTCTATATACTGAAAATACAAATATATAAATACTC